CAGGTATCAGAAGCTGCTGTTCGAACGCTGCTGCGAGGAGGCAACGCTTCGGTGAAGAGTTAGTGTAACCAGTGAGGGTTTCAGTGACAAACGATATCATGAGAGAAAAGTAAAAACTGACAGATAAGCACGGGGGCACCGGTTACTGAATCAGAACAGTGGAGCGTCTTGAAATTGAGGTCGCTACTGTGATCTGATGCTGGAAACAGTGGCATGGCAGAAGGTGGATAGACAGACTAGCCGGATGTCAACGACAGATGACCGTATGAGGAATGTAAGCGTGCATAAGACTGACTCGTCTGCGATGACAGCAACTTACGATTCGGGCACGGCTGGGACCGATGATGGATTAGCGTTCACCGGTGCCCACCAGTGTCGATCCATCATCGACAAAGACAACAGCATTTCAGCCACCGACACGATGTCGTGCATGCATGCGCGACCTTATAAGCCACTTTTGGAATAACGCACCTGCGATTCGGTCGATTACCGTCTGTACATCTGTCACGTTTTTCGTTCCCTCTCTAGAGGGCTCGAAATTTGTCCAATCTAAATGGAAACTGTAAATCTCACTCCATCCTTAAGCGTATGCGAAGTGCAGCCTTCTACAGTATTATCAATGGTCTTAACCGTTGATTGAGCCAATTAAGCATTTTAATTAAAACGCTCGTGTTCTGTACCTGACAGCAAAACTGATCTATTAGCGCGCCATAATGAGTGATGACTGAGTCATTCAGAGCCCAAGACTGAAACACTGCTCGCATACGCCCCGCTTCTGTTACTTCTAAACAAGCACCAACGTAGGTGAGTACTCTTTTGTTGGAGCATCGTCATCATGTAATTCTGTAGCCGTTCATCAGTTTCAGTTTTGGTCATGTACCACGTGAAAGCGGTCACATTTTCTTTGAATATATAGACCTGCTCTACTTCACTACCGGTACTAGATGGTCTACTGACTCTTTTCGAGAAACTTGCCTGCAGTAGAGAAAACGAGTTTCCTAATAAAGACCAATAATGAATGAAATCTGTCGCTAGACAGAGCTTGAAGTTGGCCAGCCACGATCTGCCACTTCGAGCAAGACGCTCGCTCGCAGTACTGTAGTGATTCACATATTTACGCCTTACGGTAGAGCAGAGCTTTGATCAGTTTCTCGCAGCCTGTATCTCGAAGGATTAGAAGGAGGCTGAAGACTAGTTGCCCAGCCAGGAGCATACAATAGGTCGAGCACCATAATGCGCGGTATTGGAGTTCTTTTTCATCGCATACTGTATCTCACTATAATTGTCGTAGTTGTGAAAAATTGAGCGGCAAGTTCCTAAGACACACGACACAAATTAAAGCTGTAAATACTCTAAACTTAAACGGTAACAAAGTACAGTAGCAAACAGTTACAAGTGACACAGTGAGTGGGCTATGACCCAGTACAATACAAGCACAGGAAAACGGCTGTTGTGCGGTAGGGTTTCAATTTCGACGGGAGATGCGGAAAGTATTCATCTGAGCGCTCATACTTCTGGCCATACTGGCGTATTAATTGTCTGTTGGTCATTACCCATCGGAACCACCGCTGTCACGCACCAGTCTGACATAAACCGGGTTTCAGTTGCTGACCATCTACAAGTCACGGACGTGAACAAAAGTTCGTCCGCTTCTGGTTTGATTATATTGCAGCGACCGCCTGACGAATCGTTTTCATCACGCTGCCGCCGCTACACAGAGCATCATCCTGCTGTTGCTGATTACCTGTTCTATTCAGTAACACCGTAACAAATACAGTAATATGCTATGACTAGTAGCAGAACTGCTGGGCTGAGCGCTTGACCGGCTATTCGTGTGAGAACATCTTTGGGTCGACGATGGTCGGAGGACAACCGACAGCGCAGCTGGCGCCCATGTCGTACGGCAGGCTGAAGTAGCCGCCGAATGACCGTCCTGACTGCATGGTAGCCGCGGCGACAGCGGCCACTGAATAGGCGTCCTTGCAGCCCATCGACGATGACTTCTGGTCTTTCTTGAGCTTCATACGTCGGTTCTGAAACCAGATTTTCACCTGGCGTTCCGTGAGATTCAAAGTTTGTGCAATTTCTACTCGTCGTCGGCGAGTCAGGTATCTGTTAAAATGGAACTCCTTCTCCAATTCCAGCACCTGGCTACGCGTATACGCCGTCCGTTGCCTCTTGCCTTCTGTCGATCCATTCACTAAATCAGAAATGCACGTATCAGCGACCTAACACATATCCAAAAACATTCATTGTACGATGCGATGGCTTCAACCGAAGTGAAAATTTAAATTATAGCCAGTCGTGGGAAATTACTAGCTTCGTAGAGTAAGTCTAAAGGATCGCTTCAGAGACAAGTCTGTTGAGCCTCGATGACATGAAGGACTTAATGCCGAGCTTCATTATCATAAAAGTGCTGTATGAACAATGACTGTGTCTGATGAGATATTTAGCGCTGGTGCGCGACAGAAAATGAACGGCGAGAGACACTAATGTCAG